ATGAATTCTAAAGTGGTGTTACATTGTATATTAGAACAAAATAAACATGAGTCACTTTACGAATCGTTAAAACAGTTGGTAACATCACGAGAGCAATGGTTTATTTTGTGTTTTTCAGGTCGAACTAACCCAGCATTCAAGCTGTCAGCATTAAGACTTAACGAGACAGGAGCCCAGGTTGAATGAAAATATGAAATGTGTTTTTTATAACTGCTTACAAACTGTTAGGAGATGGAGTTTTACCTCTGTTCATTTCTCTCACCCTGACAGGGTTTGTCAAATCAAAGCTGAGCTCGACTGTTGTGTTTTAGCACCACCAAGCGGTCAGATGCGGAACTGCAGCTTCATATTGATTTCTATTACAGAGGCATGTGTTAAAAAAGTTGCATTTGAAAAATACAGAAGTGCAGAATTATTATTTAAATCTATTATTAGAATTATTAAACAATCCCTAACTTCAATGCTCCAAATCTTACTACAGGCTCATGTTTGGGCTGCTGTTAAATATACCGTTTTATTTAACATTATTAGTTTAGCGTATATCTTAGTGTGTATCTTAGATCCTCGTTTCTTTTTATACTTTATATTTTTGCTATTTTGGGGTGTAACTGTGAGTACACAATTTCGTTCCATCTCATGTACCACGTGCGATGCGAATGACAATTACTTGAACTTGAACAAAATAGGGGTTCACTATGGTGGACCAGAGTCTAAACTCAAGACTCCAGTGATGTATTGGATCTAAATTGGTGGTTTAAATTCAGTGCAATATTCTTTTTTTTTTTTACTTGTAAATTTTTGCATGTATGTTCATTTATATTTGGCAGTACAATCTTGCTCTAAATCATTTTAAGCAGGTCAGCTTTTCCACAATATGCAATTTTTTTAAGCATCAAAGTAATTATTATGTGATTATTTATAAAGCACCTTTCATAGATGACATCACAAGGTGCTTCACACTATAAGCAGTAAAATATTAAGAGCATACGTACACGCATAAAACATAGAATAAAACAAGTAAAACGCACAATTCAACACCGAAATAAAAGCCTGTTTATGAAATAATGTCTTCAGGTGGTTTTTAAATGCATCAATAAAATCTAGGCTGAGTAAAGATGGAGGCAGAGCTTTCCAAAGTTTGGGGGCAAACGTTTGGAACGATGGATCCCTGCGAGATTTGAAATGGGAGCGTGGTACAACCAACGACCTCTGACCTGATGATCTTGACCTGCGAGTCGTTGTGTGGAGCTGAACCAATTAGGTTCATGCAAGGCTTTAAACGTTAAAACTAAAATGTTGATACTAAATTTAAAACGAACTGGGAGCCAGTGAAGGGAAGCTAAAACTGGTGTGACGTGAGCTCGTTAGTTTATAAGGGTTATATGGACTCACGCTCTTTGAATGAGCAGCAGAGCTGGGTGTCATCAGCATAAAAGCTGATATTACACATTATTACGCAGCACAGCTTTCCCACAGTTTACAATAGCTCATTCTAGGTGGTTCACACTGATGATGATTTATTTATTTTTATGTCTTTGAAGCCTTTTTTTTTGTAATTAAATGATTTTTTTTTTATACTGGAACGCCAAAGGAAACAACAACTGTGACTCGTTTGTAGATGACTTCAAAAGCGAGCAGATTATTAGTATTAGTGTGTGCGTGCATGTAAAGTATGTTTATGTTAAAACCCTGCAGGATAAGAACCACAATAATGCCTTCAGACTTCCAGACTGTCAGGACATCTGCTAGTGCTGACAGTCATATGTCCTTCCATGTGTGTGTGTGTGTGTGTGATGTGGCTGTTTGGCATGGGGTTGTTGCAGAAAACACAAGAACAGCCGTGCTCCTCAAACATTCATGCCCTGCGTCCTCGGTGCCGATTCGTCTTTAGTTTTATTCTTATTATTATCATGGAAGCTCAGAGGGATTCGAAGAACATCTGACACATGACAGAAAACAGCCGTTTGCAGAACACATAGTAACCTGAATTAGAGCTTAACTAATACATCTGAATAAAAAATAAATTAAAAAAAACATCTAAATAGTCAAATCCAGATTTTAAGGGGAAATCAGTTTGTTTTAAACCCAAAGTGCATCATTTTTTGTAAAGAATATTAAAATAAACCTGCTAAACACAGACGTTTGTTTAAATGAGCTCAACTAGTCCTGTCAAATTAATCAGTCAGCCCATTCCAGTTGTTTTAAATGTTTTTTTTTTAAATAATAAATAAAGTATAATAATAAAAAAACTTAATAAAAGGCGCAAATGGAACAAAATGTTTCGTTGGCTGCACGTGCTGCATGTGACCGCTAGGGGGAGCTCTTTGCACACAGTTGGATGAATCCTCACAAAGTTAGTGTGTGTGCGTGTGCGTGACAGCTGTTAAATTTATGTTGCGTGTTTATTAGAGTCTAAATGTGTCTCCTCTGTGTGATCACCGCAGGATTTCGATTCTTTCGAGACGCCACGCACAGGAAGCTGAAGAGAAACAGTTGCTGTTGTTTGTCTTTCACTCCTGCTTTATTTATAGTGATCACGTGAGGAGCACGTGGCTTTGAAATTAGTCAAATGCACATTTGTAGAAAGCTCAGCAGTTCTCCCACACTGTGCAGAAGATGGTTTTATTATGACATGAGTTCATGCAGCAGGACACAAACACAGGTCTATATTTTTATTTAACATAATCTATTTAAAGTGTTCACTCCAGCAGCTCTTATGATCCCATGAGATCAATTTAAATGTGCACATGTAGGTGTTAATTTGTTTTTGTTTTGTTGCAAAGGAACATGTAGCGATTAGAAAAATTACAGTGATGGGATTTTACTAATCTATTTTAAAAGAATTTAATATTTTCAGTGTAAAATGTCCACAACAAACAAACAATTTATATGATGTTTTAACTCCTCTGTTTTAAAATAACTTGCCCAAATAAAGTCATATATAACATTTTATACATTTATTTGCTCCGAGCCTTGGTTTGTTTCATCACTGAGTCATGAAGAGGTGCATCAAAATCATCTGCTTCCTCCTATAATAACATTATTGATAATAATAAATAAATAAATCTTGCAGAGTCACAGATTTTCATCCGCTGCCTCAAAACTTTGCTTCAATTTATTCCAACTTGTTTGGGACAAAACAGTAAAATGAATCGAATAATTACAGCAGCCAGACATTCAGAGGACTGCACGATCAGTAAAACAAATTAAAGAGGTTTACAGATCTGAAAATAATATAAATCACATTTTAGAGCGAACAGGACGTCATGTTTGTAAAATAATTATGATTTGAGCTCATGACTATATGAGAAATGATAATAGTCTCGCAGGGAAAATGATTATCAATGCACAAAATGTTCTGGATGCGTTAACTCACATTTCTGCAAGCAGAATCAGATGCAGACCATCAGGTTCAAGCGTTTTAAAGACTAAAAATAAACAGGAAAACCAATTAAAAATACTTAGAAGCCCAAAGTATAACAATAAAACTAAAAAAAGAGGAAAATATCAATTAAAAAAAATTTATTTGGAAATCTCATGAAGCCCCATCTGATGAAGAGTCGACTTATTAAACGCTGAAACAAAGGGAACAATAATTTATGGCAGAGGATTTTAAATTCAGGTGGACTCGCAGGTGAAAAGGAGCAGGTATGAAAAGAGATTAGAGGCGCTGAAGCTCTCCGAAGTAAAGAAGTTCCCCAGCTGCTCCAGAATAACTGGACAGACTTTGACCCAACGTAAACAAAATTACTGTTTTTATTTACTTTATTCACCAAGTCACAACAATGAAAACCTTGAATTAGCTCAGGGGCCGGACATCCAGCAGTTATTGTTGTTTGTTTTACGGTTTTTAAAATCGAGTTTAATTTAAACATGGACCCATTGGTGGGCCGAACTGAGCTCATGCGTGGGCCCGATTTGGCCCGCGGGCCCCCAGTTGGGTGGCGCTGGTTTCCAGTCTTAAATTCTGAAAATGATTCACGACCAAACTGTGAAGGATCCACTCCTCCTGGATCACATTCGTCAGTTTGATTACCTCCTCGTGCACAGAGAGATCCGTGCAGGCGGTTCTCACAGTCCTTCAGGAGTTCCCCATTCACAAAGCCTGCCTGGCTGCTGATGGGGGGGGGGGGGGGGAGGGCGGGGGGGGAGCGGGGGGGGGAGGGGAGAGAAAGGGAGTTGAGACGTCCCTTCTTCACTTGGCTGCATTCGGCTCACCGACGCAGGAGAAGCGACCATGCTGTGGAAACTAGTTGAGAATGTCAAGTATGAAGATATTTATGAGGTAACGTTCCATCCAGCTGTTCGGGACGCGGGAAAAAAAAAAAAGGCTTGGCGGGATTTATGGAAAGTGCTTTGAAGGGAAAATGTTAAATTTTTTTAATGAGGCTTTCGGGCCTCTTGATTTTCATCATTTTATCTTAATTTGGAGGTAAAGTGATGACACGTTTTTATATATAGATATTATATTTGAAGTGCTCATGTGGTTATAAATCGACTCTTTTTTTTATTACCTGAGAAAAAGCGGACAAATTGTATTTACAGGTTTTATTTCCGAGTTAGTGCGTAAAAGTGATTTTTTTATTTTTATTTTACTGCGGTGGGTGTTTTGGGAGAACTTGTGCTCCAGAGGAATCTCTTCTCTTAAAATGAACATGAAGCTTGAAGACAAGCCGCGAAGCTCCAAATCTCACCAGATTAGGAGATTAAACCGACTTGATTTAGGATGAGGGGAAAATCGCAGAAAATGAGGAGAAACTTAAAAGCGCCGAGTTGGAGCGGGCTGAGCGTGCGCGTGAAAATATGCAAATAGTTTGGCTTTGATCCTAGAACATTATTATTTCTGTAAATCAGTGAGAGGACGGGTGGTGTGTGTGTGTGTGTGGGGGGGGGGGGGGGCACAGGCAGCGAGCACAAAGCGCACGGAGCGGCGCGTGAGGCCCCTCCGCTGCAGTCTCGTGCAGCACATGGCTGTTCTCCCACGGTGGCGCGGAGGGAGGATGTCCAACAAGTCATCCAGGAGGGCAGAGAGCGGCCTCACGCGCACGGAGAGGTCCCGGGTGGGACAAAAAGGCAGCTGCGAGTTGTTGGAAGTCTTGATTCAGTTTGAGACAAAGAGGAAATGATCTTCATGAAGCTGAACATGACGCGCGAGTGGCGCAGGGCGCGTGATGGAGGAACCACTTGGGTTATTTCGTTTGCGCAAAAATAAGAAAAATGGCGCTTCTCTATAGCTCCCAAAGCGGTGCGGGGGGCGCGCGGGGTGGAGTGGGGGGTGGGGGGTCCTCCCAGACTTGGACCTTGTTCCCTGTCTCCTCAAAAAAAAAAAAAAAAAAACCCACTCCTCTTTCTGTCTCCTGTTGCTCGCGCGTCGTTTCGGCTCTCCACGGAATTTAAACGTCACTCGCGGTCGCGCGAGAGCCTTCACGCTCCGTGTGTCGCCAACGCGGTGCCTCGCGCGCATTAATATTCCTGTAGGTCTCAGTCATGAATAACAATTACAGAGCGTGCGCTCCGAGCTCACACGCAGAGCGGCGGCAGCTCCGGGCGCAGGAAGCTTCTGAGCGCGGGGCTTCTGCCTGCAACACGCACGAGCGCGCGCTTGCTTTTCACCTGGAATGAGTTTGTGTGAAGCCGCCCGGTTCCGTCCTCTTATTTCACCGTGAAGCCGCTCGGGACAGCCAGCTGTTTCCAGATGTTGGTTCATTCCTACTCCGCCGGGGTGAGAGACGCTTTACATCCACTTTTCCTTCAGGCTTTTATTTTAAATTCACTTTTCCTTCAGGCTTTTGTTTTAAATTCACTTTTCCTTCAGGCTTTTGTGTGTTTTATTTTTGCAGCTGCTTTATTTCTGCACAAGCACAGAAACAAGATCCTGGGCCTGCGCGCGCGCCCTGTCTCGTGTCTTTCATCACTGATTTTCTTTCATTTCTTCTTTCCTCATTAAAGGACCGACATGACGGCGTCTCGAGCCACAGCTCGCGCCTGTCCCAGCTGGGCTCAGTGTCGCACGCGGGACCCTACTCCAGCGCGCCGCCGCTGTCTCACGCGCCTTCCTCGGACTTCCAGCCGCCCTATTTCCCTCCGCCGTACCAGCCGCTCGCTCACTACCAGAGCCAGGATCCGTACTCGCACGTGAGCGACCCGTACTCCCTGAACTCCCTGCACCAGAGCCAGCAGAGCGCGTGGGGCGCGCGCCAGCGGCAGGACGCCGCGGGGGACCGGATGGAGAGCTCCGCCCTGCTGGCGCAGCCGCGGGCGTCGCTGCCGCAGCTGTCCGGGCTGGACCCGCGGCGGGACTACGCGGGCATGCGGCGGCCCGACGTGCTGCTGCACTCCGCGCACCCGGGACTGGAGCCCGGCATGGGGGACGGACTGTTGCACGGTCTGCACGGGATGGAGGACGTGCAGGTGAGGGACTGCTGAGCATGGATCCTTTTCTATTTCTGCAAGTTCGACAGATCTGACGCAAAGCAACAAATATTTATTGCATCATTCTCACATCACATATGAACTTTATAAATTCAAACACTATTTTAGCCTTACTCTTTTAAAGTCAAAGCATTTTTCACATTTTAATAAAGCAACCGAATAAAACGGTCCAATGATGAAAGAAAAAGAAACAAACTGATGGTTCATCAGCCCCGCACATTTCACGCACCTTTTAGGGAGTCCCGCAGGGCTGCAGGATTCATGGTTTGAAAACAAAAAACAGGCTCAGACTGTCAAAGGGACAACAATTAATTTTGACAATTTACTGAGAATAAAATGTTAATACATTTAAAAAATATCATTTTCTGTTTGATTTCATTTCGGTTCTTTGCTTCTCAAACGCAACACATTTAATTGTTTTTAATAAATTAATACACGTTTTATTTTATTTTAGCCACAATGTAAGACTTATTTTCTGCTCAGCTGTGAAGGATTTCATCATCTTCATCTTCGCCCTCGGGCCTAAACCACCAGGAGCTGTTTGTCATTTCACCTCCACAGATCCTGCTTTTATAGATTTATTAAAACCCACATTAATTCGTTTCCACGAGCTTCTTTTGTTCCTTTTTTTTTACATTTTTACACAAATGTGAAGCATTTCTGACAACTGGAACAGAAACTCAAAGCTCAATTTTATTTTTTGCAGCTTTTTGTTTCTGAAATGTATTTATTTAATATTCAGAAAGAAAAATGAGCAGATTCTTTGTGTCGTCGGGCTCTAATGTGTTCGTCTTGTTCTGACAGACGATTGAAGACACCAACGGGATGAACATCCTGGATCAATCTGTAATCAAGAAAGGTACACACACACACACACACACACAGATTTATTTATTTAAAGGAGCTCGTTATAAAATATGAACCATGAGCACATGTTATCCTGATGAATCAGTTCACTCCGGTAGTTTTCCAGATTTATTGATATTGTGAAATGCGGGTCTGCACTCAACGTAAACAAACTGGACAAAATCGAAGCACAAAAATAGAAAATGCAGCATTTTGAAGCAAACGGTTCTTTCATGATGAGGTGAACAAGCACGTGCCGCATCAGCAGCAGAGAAATGTGTAGATTTAAAAAATATATATATATATATACTTTACGTTTTGTTTGTTTTTTACAATGGAGGTTATGAATCACAGGACTAATGACGCAGGATTCACCCACAATGCATCTGGGTCCTGACCCTGGTTTTGGGGGGTGCAGACTTTGGAGCAGCATTAACGACCCCCGCTCCACTGCCTGACGGGCCGGCGCGTGACGCTGCGCGCTGGTTTAGTTCCGGGACGTTGAGTGACAGCTCCCCGCGGGGCATTTAAGCCGCTGATGTAATAAATGGCAGCGCTCACAGAGAGAGCTCGTGAGCTCGTTTAGAGCTAATCTGCGGTGTTATCCCCCGTGGAGACATCAAAATAAATAAAGAAATAAAATAGAGCCACTCGCGCCGGCCGTGCACCATTAGCACGCGCATTAACGCGCGGGATGGAGGTTCCAGTCCTCCTGGCGGGAGATGAAGACCGGGATGTGGTTAATGCGGTTTGAGCGCGTGAGCCAATCAAATATCGATAACGCTTTAATGAGAATGTCGCGCGACATTAAATAACAAGCAAGTGCCCGGCGCGCAGGGACCGCCCTCTGAGCGCGCGTGGCGTCAAAGCGCGGAGATGAATTCAACTCCTCATCGTGTGGGTCAGTGTCTGCTGCGCATGCGTCATCGTGTGTTTCACCGTCTCCTTTCAGTGCCCATGCCGCCCAAGAACGTGGGCGCGCTGATGCTCGGGAAGGACGGCCTGATCGGCGGAGTGACCGTCAACATCAACGAGGTGTTCTGTTCGGTACCGGGCCGCCTGTCGCTGCTCAGCTCCACCTCCAAGTACAAAGTGACCGTGGGGGAGGTGCAGAGGAGACTGTCCCCACCCGAGTGCCTCAACGCCTCCCTGTTAGGAGGCGTGTTGAGGAGGTGAGGAGGCGTGACGCACAGCCACGTGGCTCTCTGACCAATCAGGAGCAGTTCTCCATCCATGCATCCATCCATCCATCCATCCATCCATCCATGCATCCATCCATCCATCCATCCATGCATCCATCCATCCATCCAT